TCTCAGTAGAGTAGTCAGGAGCAGAACGATGTGATTGCTCGGCTCCGAAGTGAAAAGCTGAATATGCGCTGCACCGGCTGCCTACTTATACTCACGCTGTGATCAGCGGCAGCTGGATGCAATAATCGCATGCCAATGTGCATTGGCTCATTTGGTTTACACTCGAAAGTAGATTGGTCTCTCTAAGCGAGATCCAAATTCGTCGGTCATCCGACGTGATGTCGAGAGTGACCGACTGAAAGGGAACCATAGTTTTTCTGAGACCTGATCACCATATGTATGATAAACACATTCACATATAAATATCGATCAACGCACATACATACAGCACATCAAACATGGTAACCAGAAGCTCAACTGTGCTTGCATGAAACCTTATTGGTTCTCTCACAGCTGAGCTTTTGTTTACCATATTTGATGTGTTCTGTGCATAATCAGTGTTTATATGGGAATAAAAACCAAATCTTATGGGTTTATAACTACATGAGCGTAAGTAATTGTAATTGATGTCATTGATGTCATTGATGACAGAATTTTCATTTTTGGGTGAACCAATCTGCAGGTGTTCCCAACTCTGGCCCTCAAGGTCCACTTTCCAGTGGAGTTTAGCTGAACAAGCTATACGGTCTTCAGGATTACTAGAAAGCTACAGGCAGGTGAGTTTGATCTAAGTTAGAGCCAAACTCAGGAGAGTGCAGGAAAGTGGATCTTGAGGGCCAGAGTTGAGAAGTCCTGCTTTAATGCATAAATCACTGGGAGAAAGCACCACAAAAATTACCCCTGGCCCCAGACTTTCAGATTTAAACATATACCCACGTTAATTTGCAAGTTTGTTATTAATTCATGGCAAAATTAGCGAATATACGGAATAAATTCCGTATCTGTACTTGAAAGGGTTAAGGGGGTTTAAGCTAATAACCCAAACTACAACCTTCAAAATTCTTGTAACAAGATTAACACTGAATAGCTAAAATACTGTTGTCACTCTTCTTCTGAGTGCTTAATCCTACTTTGCACACACAGAATTAGGTTATTTCCATGAGTGACAACCATATTTACACAAAGTCTGAGACAAACAAACAAACTGAACAACTAATGATGTAGTTAAAAGCACATCACACATGTGTGTCTCTGTTCTCCAGATGTGGAGGAAGCCAATCACAATGATGTCTTGACAGTTTTTCCAAATCTGTATTATTTCACCGAGTTGCTCTCTGTGTTACTCAAACCAGTGGTTCAGTGGTTCAGTGTTCTCACCAGTGTTGTCCAGTGGTTAATATTAAAATTACTTTGGGAATACGAAACTAACACCCAATGACATAAACTGTTCTTACTCATGTTTCTTGTTTGCAGCCATGAATCCAAACAATTGCTATGGTTATCACTATGCCAATAAACAAATTTCAGGAGCATTTCTGCAACCTAAGGCATGTATGTAAACGGTTAAATAAATGTATATGTTTATTTATTGTTTATCACCAAACCCTAACTTTTCAGTAAACAAATCATTACATTTGAGTTGATTTTTAAGCCACAATGTAGGAATGATAATGTGATGTGTGATTCAAATCAAATTTCGCTTTATAAAGACATGAGATGTACATCTCATGTGATTTTTTTTCTAACAGCTGCAACTCCTCCAATTTACCACCAATCTCAGTAGAGTAGTCAGGAGCAGAACGATGTGATTGCTCGGCTCCGAAGTGAAAAGCTGAATATGCGCTGCACCGGCTGCCTACTTATACTCACGCTGTGATCAGCGGCAGCTGGATGCAATAATCGCATGCCAATGTGCATTGGCTCATTTGGTTTACACTCGAAAGTAGATTGGTCTCTCTAAGCGAGATCCAAATTCGTCGGTCATCCGACGTGATGTCGAGAGTGACCGACTGAAAGGGAACCATAGTTTTTCTGAGACCTGATCACCATATGTATGATAAACACATTCACATATAAATATCGATCAACGCACATACATACAGCACATCAAACATGGTAACCAGAAGCTCAACTGTGCTTGCATGAAACCTTATTGGTTCTCTCACAGCTGAGCTTTTGTTTACCATATTTGATGTGTTCTGTGCATAATCAGTGTTTATATGGGAATAAAAACCAAATCTTATGGGTTTATAACTACATGAGCGTAAGTAATTGTAATTGATGTCATTGATGTCATTGATGACAGAATTTTCATTTTTGGGTGAACCAATCTGCAGGTGTTCCCAACTCTGGCCCTCAAGGTCCACTTTCCAGTGGAGTTTAGCTGAACAAGCTATACGGTCTTCAGGATTACTAGAAAGCTACAGGCAGGTGAGTTTGATCTAAGTTAGAGCCAAACTCAGGAAAGTGCAGGAAAGTGGATCTTGAGGGCCAGAGTTGAGAAGTCCTGCTTTAATGCATAAATCACTGGGAGAAAGCACCACAAAAATGACCCCTGGCCCCAGACTTTCAGATTTAAACATATACCCACGTTAATTTGCAAGTTTGTTATTAATTCATGGCAAAATTAGCGAATATACGGAATAAATTCCGTATCTGTACTTGAAAGGGTTAAGGGGGTTTAAGCTAATAACCCAAACTACAACCTTCAAAATTCTTGTAACAAGATTAACACTGAATAGCTAAAATACTGTTGTCACTCTTCTTCTGAGTGCTTAATCCTACTTTGCACACACAGAATTAGGTTATTTCCATGAGTGACAACCATATTTACACAAAGTCTGAGACAAACAAACAAACTGAACAACTAATGATGTAGTTAAAAGCACATCACACATGTGTGTCTCTGTTCTCCAGATGTGGAGGAAGCCAATCACAATGATGTCTTGACAGTTTTTCCAAATCTGTATTATTTCACTGAGTTGCTCTCTGTGTTACTCAAACCAGTGGTTCAGTGGTTCAGTGTTCTCACCAGTGTTGTCCAGTGGTTAATATTAAAATTACTTTGGGAATACGAAACTAACACCCAATGACATAAACTGTTCTTACTCATGTTTCTTGTTTGCAGCCATGAATCCAAACAATTGCTATGGTTATCACTATGCCAATAAACAAATTTCAGGAGCATTTCTGCAACCTAAGGCATGTATGTAAACGGTTAAATAAATGTATATGTTTATTTATTGTTTATCACCAAACCCTAACTTTTCAGTAAACAAATCATTACATTTGAGTTGATTTTTAAGCCACAATGTAGGAATGATAATGTGATGTGTGATTCAAATCAAATTTCGCTTTATAAAGACATGAGATGTACATCTCATGTGATTTTTTTTCTAACAGCTGCAACTCCTCCAATTTACCACCAATATACCAAGTTTAAAATATGCTTTTTTGACTATTTTCTTTTTCTTTTTCTCTTCAGAAACCCATGTGGTGACACATATGGGGAATATTCCTCAGATTAAGCAACCAAAGCAAAAAGTGACGAACAGTGATTACCAACGTAAACCAAAAACAGTTGCAGACCCCTGAATTAGGTGATTCATTCCCACATTTAAATGCAGTCATCACCACCAAAACCTTGCAGTTTGTACATGGTCATAGTGCACCTAGTCTGTTTTGCAGCAATGATATTGATCAGACTGTCTGCCATGTATTTTTAGAGCAAGGGTTTGCATCACTGCTTTGTCATTTCACTTACCTCGTCCTTTTCCAGCAGAATGAGACGCACGACAGCGATGTTGATGGCATTTCCAATGCTGGCATCCCGAAATAACCCTGCCACCTACAAAACACAACATTCTCACATGAAATTGTAAATAATTGAATGTCATGTCGATTTGAAGCTAATCTAACATCACAACCTTTCTACTGCAGTGGTTTATACATTTTGGGTCAAAATCTATGGGCAGTAATGGCAGTTTGTTTTGATTCCTCTGGAATGGAGAGCATTTGGATGAAAGCTAGAGAAATGGATAGAGTATATGTGTCAGCTGTGTGTGGAGCCTTATGATCTGGCCACTGACTAGAGGGAACGATAATACTTAAGGTTGTAACGTTTTTAATGATTGGTACGGGAAGGATTTAGAGTGAAGTAACCTCAGATAGTTTACTGCAGCCGCTGTTTTCAGCAAGCCTGAGGAGAGATCACATAATGACAGATTTTTAGGAGCGATGACAGCCAAGTTAATCACAGATCTTTACAGGGGCTTAGATGAAAGACAGTGGAGCTGAAGCTCCCTCCTAAATAGGGTCTAGGAATTCCTATGCAGAGAAGTAACCAAAATAAGTCCCAGAAAGAACTCAAGAACACTTGATATGACTGACATACTGATATTGAACTAAGGAGTTTAGCACAAACAGATTTTCTGTTGGTGAGATGCTTAGAAGTTCTGCTCTCATATCAAAGCTCTCCTTGAGGTAAATGTGGTCTGAAATGTGATGAGGCATTTTCTATGCTTCTGTGGTGCTCATTACAAAATGTTCCAGTGAATTAATGAGGCACCTTTGAAGCCGTTCTGTCTTTTTGAGGTGAAGCAACTTCTGCTGACATTAATCTGATCTTTGATGAGTCTATGGCACACTCAAAGTCTGGTTAACTTTATTATAATACCTTGATTTTTCAGGTGGCAGGTACTAATGTTCCAGTTCTCTGCAGTGATCAAGCTTACATGGAATATGTTGGCAAATATATTTAGCAAGGTGAGAGATGTAAAGCAAATGAATAAACAAAACTTGTGATCATTAGTCATTGCAATTAATTAGTGAATTTCTGGGCATAACTCATCCTTGCTTAAGCTACAGACATGAATGAAATCTAATATCATGTTGCTTTTCAAGCAGAGGTGTGCTTTTACTTTTTTTAGCAATCTGGCTAACAATTTTTGCCTGACAGATAAAACACATGAAAGACTTTAAGATTTACATGTATTAAGAGACACAAGCCATATCTAGAGACCAAAATATTATAGAGTCTTGGGGTTAGGCCCTTTTGACTTGGACCAGTAAGTAACCATCTAGTAACCACCCAGAACACCCTAGCACCCAATTAGGAATTGCTTGCCAACCATCAGAACACCCAAGCAATTGCATAGCAATGAAATAACAACCACTCGGAACATCTTAGGAATTGCATAACAAATTATATTATGTTCAGAAAATGTAAACCACTACTTGTAATTCTGTAATAGTCATATTTGTAATGACATATTTAGTAAAAAGGCACCGTGAATACATATCAGCAGTGGTGCAGTATGTTTGCTGGAGAGAGAATTTTAGGAGCTCAATGGTGCCTGAAGCCCAAATAATTCTTCCTCTCTACGGATTCTTTAAACTGCAAACAAGAGGCTATAGTAGATACAGTACGTTAATGGAGTACACTGTGTTTGCCTATTTTTTCAGTTTTTCTTTTTGAAAAAATCACTTCAGATTAACATGTTGGACCACTTTCTACCAATTTTTCTGAAGAGAATACAAAAAAAACAAAAAAACATCAAAGATTCAAATCCATGTGATCAACTTGAATCTGCAAAGAGAAATCTTTCGCCCTCACATGAAATATCCATTCACGTTGATTGAAATGACTATATTTCACCCAAGAAGATTTGCAGAGCAATGGTAAATGTGACCGCACTTTTAGAATAGTCCTTCCTATGTCAGCAGTAGACAGCAAGGTAGCTTACTAAAATGTGGAACATTTGTGTCTAAACCATATATCCAACAGCCTATTTTATTTACTGTAGCTCTGTATTCCTCACTTTGATTCTGAATTGGTTTATTACCATCTTTAGCCTGCTCAACAATACACAAAAACAAGTAAAATATTGCAGCAATGGGTCTATATTGCCAGACCTAAACTCCTGCCAACTCTTGTTGAACGTAAGTAGCAGGACAGACCTACAAGAGAAGCAGCCTAGCAGGAAACTGAGGATAATGGAACGTTTCCCCTTTATAGAATGTTCTTCAATACCAACCAAGTGTCTGGAATGGAAAACTTTTTTTCCCTGAAGGCTTTCCCTCCACAAAAACAGAAGCCAGACAAAGCATACAGAGGATATTTTGGAAAATGTACCTAACAGACTGGATCAGTAACATGGTCAGCTGACTTGGATCCAGCTCAGGACCAGCAGAATGAGTGCTGCCTAAAGGCACACTGTCCATGAATTATTTATAGATAGGACTGTTACTCACAATATTCATGACAGAGAGCACATAGCTCACAACTCCTTTGCTCCCATGGTATTCCACCATTTTAGGGTCAGCCACTACCAGAGTCTCTACCCACTTCTCAGTGCTTATGGAGCGCTGTCTAATCCGTCTGCGATGTTGCCGTCTCTCCCAGCGCTCTCTTTGCCTTTCCACCTGCTTTGCCCCGCCTAAAGGATCTAAGGATGATTAAAAATGACCTTGGATCATTAATGCATTATGTGCTTTAATCATGAAAGACATCTGTTCATAAATTATTTATCCCCTTTGAATCCTATGCCCCAAAGTCTTACCTCTGACCCTACAGGTCGCGTTAGCTGTGTGCTCTCCAAACAGAGGCTGCACCAGCTGGTGTTCTGATTGGACAGCATGTCGCTTATAGACTGCATGAGCCTGTGAGGCTGACTTTTCTTGTGCTGACTCCAGCGGCCTAATGAAGAATTCCTCTTCTGAGAGCTTGAACAGCCCTGTCTAGAGAGAATACAAGGTCAAAGTAACGTGACATAAAATTAAACAGCGTATACCCATGCAATCCACATTCACTGTCTCATTTCACTGCGGTCGTATGTTTCGCCACAGGGCACCTACTACTTATTATTCCTAAGTAATAAACAGAGTTTTACTCAGAATGGTAACAACTTTAACTTTTGCCATCAGTGAGGGTCAGTAATCAACTACACAAAGGAAAAAATCTTTAAAAATTCTTTTTAATAAGGTTTGTAAATACATTTTTCATGGTAAAATGTATTTTTTTTTTTTACATAATGAATTATTAATTTATAAATACTATAATGTTTTATGTGAGCCACACAACATTACATTTTATAACATGACCTAGTGCTGGGCGGTATACCGGTTCATACCGAATACCGGTTTTTATTTTTGTTATGATATGAATTTTGAAAATACCGCAATACCGGTATATGTCACGTTCGGAACTCGACAATATATATATATATATATATATATATTGATAAGCAGAGAAGCATTATGCCACACTGCTAATAGTTTTCTTTTCTAAAATTGCATTCTTTTAAAGAGGCTTTTTTTCATCATCATCAGGAAAGTTGATTGAATTTTTTTTTTACTTTATGCAGCAGCAACCCTCCCACCCCTCAAGGCTGTAGAATTTAGTAGGGATGCTAGGAGCATGTCCCATCAATATCCAGCGACTACTGAATTGTTTCTTGTAATAATTTTGATAAAACAATTAAAATATATTCATATATAGAGACTGCTGGCTGTCAGTGTCTTGTGGGGTTTATTTTTATTTTTTATTTAACCAGGATTGTCTCACTGAGTTAAACAATCTCTGGGCTCTGTTAGCCCTGGTCCAGATTCTCTACTCTCGACCCCCCTAAATAAAGCTGGATATAAGGCTAATAAGACTTGGCAGCACCTGAGAAGGTAAAGTAAACATGCTAGAAAACGTCTCAGGATACGCATGTAACGATGGTTCCCTGAGAATAGGGAATGAGACGCTGCGTCCTCTAGAGGGCGCATAGGGGACACGCTGACGGCGTTCCCCTAGCGCCCTCTGGAGGAGGCAGCGTGGAGTTCCCTTTCGAAAGGGAACGTCTCAGGTTACGCATGTAACCATGGTT